GTGGCTCCTGCTGTAAAGTATCGTAGGCTTTCATGCCTCAAATTTTCACCCAATATACTATGCTATGCTATCAACTTTGAATATTCTTTCTCAACATATATATATATATATATCAACTGAATAAATTGTTCTTTCTTAAAATGTTTCTCCAATAGTCATGACATGTTCCCTCGAGAGGAGCTAGCTAGCCAGTACACAGCTAGCTGTATATATAATTTATCAACTTTAGCTTGATGATCCTACTCTAGGTATGGGAGTAGATAAGATCAAAACTTAAAAAATTTAGGTGAATGAATAAATCTATGTTGACATGCATGTATAATATGGGGCTATGATCCCACAAACTTTTATTGTTGAGTAGGTATATATATTTAATTTACACATTAGTTAAAGCCATCTGCGCTTTGCTCTTACGGACCTCGGAAGTTAGAGTCCACCATGTTCATCGAGAAACGAATTTCGCTGCTGACCACATGACGAGCTTGGCGGTATCATATCCACCTGGCTTGCATCGCGTTGTGTCCCTGCCTACAGGAATCGGAGAGTGGCTGCAGCATGATAACACGGGGGTAGCTTATCCCCAGCAGATTCTAGCTTAGGCCCATGGCCTCCCTTTATTGTACCCAAAAAAAAAAAAAAAAATTTACACATTATTATAATATATTCATTTGTGAGTTGTCTCATATTGTTTTTACAGAGAAAATGACTCTAACTTATAAGTCTAGTGGACTACTCCTCTCATCGACAATTGGTTTTGGGATGTAATCTCACTAAGGTGCACATAGGTTCACCTTCTTATGATGCGCTTTACGTGCATGAGACCGCACACGTTTCCTACGATTAACTCATCACACATCGTATGAAGGACTCACAAGTGAGGGAGCGTACCTATTAGTATACAAGGAAGATTTCAGATGGAACCTCACTAAGGTGCACCTAAGCTTACCCTCTTATGGTGCGCTTCACGTACATGGGACCGCGCCCTTTCCCTCAATACTTTCAAACTCTTTACCTAGTCTGCTCAATGGACATATCTTGTAAGTTGTCTCCTTCTTAAAGAAAACCAATTCTTTCGGACTCTTTACTCAGCCTGCTCACTGGGCGTATCTTGTGAGTTGGCTCCTTCTATATGGAAAATAGGTCTACCTTATAAGTCTATAGGTCTACTCCTCCTAGGAGTGAGCACCAAAACCGAACCGCACCGAAAAAAATCGAAAATTGCATATTTCGGATTTCTTAACTGAACTGCACCACAATAGAAGGAATAATCAAACAAAACCAAACCAAAATTTTTGGTCTGTTCAGTGTGGTTTTTTAGTTAACCAAAATTAAAAAAGAATAGCCACAAAGTAATGTTGAGAGTGAAAATTAAGGCAAAAAGGAATGAAATGAAAATTTTTACTTCTAAATTTAAAATGTAAATGTTTATGTGATGCTGTGTCTAAATTTTTACACAAAAAGTGTAAAACTAAAGTGTAAATTTTACTCACTTTATGATATTCGGTGCAGTTCGGTTAAAACCGTACCAAAAAACTGAACCGCACCGAAATATCTGCGGTTTTCTAAAATTCAAACCGCACCATTAATTGAACTAAAACAGCACTGAATAGCTCGGTTCGGTTCAGTTTTCGGTTTCGGCTTGGTTTTGTTCACCCCTAACTCCTCCCATCATCAATTGGTTTTAGTGAATAGACTCACCCTCTTATGATGCGCTTTACGTGCATGGGACCACACCTCCTATCACTAGTTGACTTTAGTTTATAAGTCTAAGGCTACTATTCCCATCACCAGTTGATTTTGAGATGGAAACATACTAAAGTGCATCTAGAGTCACCCTCTTATGGTGCGCTTCACGTTATTTCACACATTACTCCACTGTAAAAATTATTAAATAGGTGTTTTTAATAGCTGGTGGCAACCGAATACACACTTAACCCAGGCTTTTGCCAACAACCTTTCTTTCCAGGGTAAACCTAGCAGAGACCGACTAGAAAAGTAAAGCAGACGGCTAACTCAGGAGATTCTTTGTCGATAGAAGGCATGCGTGAAAGTCGCTGATGAAGAGAAGCTTTACTAAAAGAGGGCTTTATGTGAATACAAAGGCTGGAAGTGGTGCGGTTCCCACAGGTCTTCTCCTGAAGAGAGCGGGTCCAACCCGATACGATATCCTTCTTGAACAAGAAATAAGTATGAATAGCCCAATCCATTACAGCCCGACAGCCTAACAGGCGTAGATCACCAGATGAGGCTTTTCGCCAGGCCCCGCCAAGAATGGGGCTCTTGAAGTGCGTTGGCTATGGCTCAGTTCATACTAGAGTTTCACTCTTTCTCTTATGAGATTAGTCCGGGTCCTGAATCGAGTTATTGGATAATGATTTGAGCCAGGCCGCTCTTGAGAAAAAATCGCGTGCGAAGGAGATTGGTGTTAGGAGCGATCGGATAGTGGAGATGGCTTTGTAGATTGCGACTGAGAGGAAAATTACTACATAAGTGTTGATTTATCAGTCATTTATTATCACTTATAATTATATTTTTTAATACGCTATTTACACTCTTGTATAAATAATATTTCTGTCACTGCCGAACAAGTTGTAAATTTTGTTGTGCCTCGTTATTTTTATTATACAAGAAATGGTATGGAGCCTAAATTGTGTTTAGTTCTGTTAAATTAAATGAGTCTAGCTCGACTTGACTCGTTAAGACTCAAAAAGAGAATTATTTTATAAATTTTTTATGGTCCGTCTTGTTAAAGCTCGAGTTTGACTCGTTAAGACTCGAGCTCGAGGCCTTAACGAGCCGAAACTCGAGCTCAATTTTTGCTCGTTTATTTAACTAGACGAGCTCGACTCGACTCGACTTGTGTACAGTCCTAATTGTGTTCTTTACGGGTAAGTGTGCTCAATTTTGGTTACAAATTGAAGACTGAAATGACCGATCAACAAATAAATTATGGTTTTATTTTTGTATATTTCTGTTTGATTATTGAACATTGACTTTTAAAATTTTGGGTATTTTAATTGAGCTTTGGTTTCATTTTTAAAATAACGAGATAACCAGACAGATCGAACTATATTAAAAAACATATGTTTATATTTTTATGTATATGTTTTCTTAAAAAAAAAGATAAAATATTAAATAAAAAAAATTTAAAATTAAATATATTTGTTTATATTGTAACTTTTATTTACAAAATTAAATAAATTTGTTTATATTATAATTTGTAATTTATTTTGGTTATTTCAATTTAGCTGTGGTTATATTTTTAAAATAACAAAATATCCAAACCAACTGAACTATATAAAAAATATTTATTTTTATTATTTCATGTATATATTTTTTCATTTTCAGTAAAATAAGACAAAGTATTAAATAAAAAGATTGCAAAAATTAATATATTTTTGTAAATTATAATTTCAATTACTTCAGTTATTTATTTTGACTAAATTAACCAATCGAATAAACAAATTATTTTGATTTAGTTTTAGTTTGATTTAGAATAAAAGTTTGGTGAGTTTGATTTTTCTAAATAATTTGACCAAGGTATTTTAGTTTAAATTTACCAACCTCTACTTATGAATTTGTCATATCAATCAAGTGGTGTTCCATCCAGACCTTCTCTTTTGCAGTGGCATCCCAAAATGGTAATTGGGCTCTATAAGAAATGTTTGGGCTTCATATGATCTCTTTATTTTATGGATACCCAAAACATTTCAAAATTGAACATGAAAAAAGTTTATTTATGTCAAGAGAAAATTACACCACATTTTTCATTTTATTACATATATGGAATCGGTTTGAAAATATTGGTAGCAAGATCTATTGTTTTTATTTGCATAATTATTAGAAATCTCTTATGGCAATATTTTACATATTCAATCAATAATTTGCTTAATTTATAGAAAACTTATCACCTTCAAAAAAACAACTCTGAATGTAATTGGAAATAATCTTCTCTCTCACGGTTCTCTTTCTCTTCTTTTACAAGTTTACGTTTAAAATTTTCCCCACCTAGAGTTAAAATTTTTCTTTGTTGTTTTTTTTTTTTGGGCAACCCACGACTTGAATGAGCGTAGGGTCGACGGATCGAGGGATTGGCAGACCCACTGGAAGTATATTAAAATACAATTAATGCTCATAGATATAATTTAATTATAGACAACATTTATAATAAAAAAATATATATTAAAATACAATTAATGCTCATAGATATTGTCATATATATCCAAAATATTATGAATAATTTAAAGCAAAAGTATTATTTATATATAGGTTGAAAATAAATTAAAAGTTATCCAAATCAGCATAAAATTTAACTTGCCATTTAAATTCAGAAAATTATAGAAGGTGGATTTTCATACAATCAATTTCTACTTCAACTAGTCGTCGGTTTAGCAATTATCCATAAAAAATCCATAAATTATGTTCAAGACTGTCAGTTTTCGCAGTTATCCATAATCCATAAAATTGTTTGTGTTCAAGATCGGCGCCGATAATCAACGACGGATTTCACAAAATCTCGAACCTCGAAACCGGAGAGTTCGAGGATCACAAGGATCGTAGGAAGGTGGGATTATTAGGTTTCGATAAGGTGAAATTTGGAATGGGATTAAGGTAAAACGTATCACCCAATCCAAATACTGTCATGGTGAAACTTTATACGTCATCTTCTTGAATCTTGGTCCCTACCCTTTGTTCTTCGCTTTTATCTCCATTGTTTTTGTATGTATTTGCTCAATGAAAATCACTTTCAAATGGGTTCTTTTCTCTGATTTTAATATTGTTTCACTACTTCACTGTACAAGACAACTTGCCTCCGATAAAAATTATGTACAGTGTTGAATAAAATAAAAACCCACCAACCAAATCAATCGCCAAGAAAATTTACTCAGCCAAAGATTCAACTTTGGCGTTATACACAGTGCATCGAGCGAGTGTTGGGTCAGTTGACGGAGATCGTGATTCGTGGGTTCTACTTGTGCGATTGTAAAAAAAAAAAAAAGATGGGAAAGGTGGCAGTGGCGGCGGCGGTGGTGTGCACGGCAGCGGTTTGCGCGGCGGCTGTGGTGGTGGCGAGGCGGCAGATGAAAAGCTCCGGGAGGTGGGCCAAGGCGGAGGCTATTCTGAGGGAGCTGGAGGAGAAGTGTGCGGCCCCCACGGCCAAGCTAAGGCAGGTGGCCGACGCCATGACGGTGGAGATGCACGCGGGCCTCGCATCTGAAGGCGGCAGCAAGCTCAAGATGCTCATTAGCTACGTTGACAACCTCCCTACTGGGTATTCTACTATGCCTATTGTTTCATACTGTGTTTCTTTTTTCCCCTCTTTACTCGATTAGATTTGATTGTTGAATAATTATGTCTTCGAGCTTATTGGGCTTTTGATTATTGAATTTCATTCTCCGATATGAGTCTGCGGTGTAATTGTGGAATTTGGGGTGCTGAAGAATAATGTCTTGTTCAGAAAATCGTTGAAATTGCATCCCTTTTCCCGTCTGTTTCAATCTTTTGCTTCAGATCTAATTTAGTGTTCATAAATACATGCGCATGTGTGTGTTAATTAAATAAATTTGGTGACTGATCCAAATTTTAGTACTCGCCTTCACAATCATAGAAATGACCTCTTGAGAAAAAAAAAAAAAAAATCTTGACTTTTTGGCGCGGTTCACTTCTAATTTTATTTATTGAATATTAAACATTTTATGTATGGATATAGATAAAAAATACTGCTCTTACTCTGCAGAAGCCGTATTGCCATAGCAATATAATCGGGCGTGCAGCTGTATGTGTGTGCGTGTGTGTTGTCTATTTGTATCCTCAGTTATTTTTTCAATTCCGTTGATTAAGCACAGTTTCCATTCCCCTTGATTAAGCGCTTTTAAAACACACTTTTGGAAATTTGGATTGAAAACTTCATTTTCAAAATAATCGATGTTTGGTGTTGAGAATGAGCTCTCTGTGAGTCACTCCCTCCATATAGTCCAGTTTAGAGAAGTCAAATATTGGAGGCTTTTTGAAATGCCACTTATTAAGTCCCTTTTATAACGGACTTTGCAGAAAGTATGTAACACAGTGAATGATGCGTCCTTCATAATTACAACTTTCACCTTTTCAGTAGATGACCGAATTCAACCTTTAACTCGTACTAGTTTTAGTGTAGTTTAAACCTAAGTCGATAAATGCATCCCCTGAGAAGTTCACTATACTCTGATATCTATTATTGTTGCTTTGGGCTATGCTACCTGGACTCGGATATGGGTGGCGTATCGGGTGTGGAGATATGAGCGTCCGACTCGTCAATAGTTTAGAAATCTTGAACATTTTAGGCTAAAATGCCACACCCGACACTCATACCCACACCAGTGTCGACACAACATGACACGGGTATTCTTCCTAAATAGAAGAGTCCGGGTAACATAGGCTTTGGGGCTTTCATGAAATGGTCAGCATGCACTTGTTCTTGCCTGTAACAACTTGCAACCTTCTTTTTTTTTTTCTCCACGTTTTGTTACTTTGTTGAACAAATCAAGAAGCCTCGTGATTTGTGCACCAGGAGTCCAAGACTGACCTCTGCTATCCTTGGAGGAGAAAAAAAAATCTTTTATTTCTTCTCCCCTTCTTTTTTTATTATTTTTAAATCTTGGAAATAGAATTTTAACTTATTTTTGAGCATACGAATCCTTTTTTTTCTGTTCAGGGACGAAAAAGGATTGTTTTATGCATTGGATCTTGGTGGCACAAATTTTCGTGTTATGCGGGTTCAGTTAGGTGGCAAAGGAAGTAAGCCCAAACAAGAATCCGAGGAGGTCTCAATCCCGCCGCATTTGATGGTTGGGTCATCTCATGTGAGTGTATATTCATTCACGTAACATAATCTTGGCATTGTTGCAATTTTCTGATGTTCTCATGGGTTATTGTTCAGGAATTGTTTGATTTTATTGCTGCTGCACTTGCGAAATTTGTTTCTAAGGAAGGAGAATGTGAAGAGTTTCATCTTCCACCGGGCAGGCAAAGGGAGCTCGGTTTTACCTTTTCATTCCCTGTCAGGCAATTATCATTGGCATCAGGAACTCTTATAAAGTGGACGAAAGGCTTCCTTATAGAAGATGCGGTTAATCTCTTTCTAGCATTTGTTTTGCAGTTAAACATGAACTTGACGTTATCGTGAGTCACGAATGTTCTGTATTTACTATTTAGATAACACTTGCAATCCAGAATGCTTATGGTTTAGTACATGGTTTTGGAAATCTCTTAATGTTTTCTAATAAATTCTAGGAAATTTTACCTTATAAACTTGTAGTTTTAAGTACGTTTTAATTTAGAATTTCATGATCATTAATGCATAGCTCTGATGCCACTTCTCTTCCTATTGAAGCACATAGGTTTATGTGGTGTTGTTGGTGCTGAACTGTTTTGCAGTAATCATTTTGACTGTTTTCTTTTGTCTTTTTTCTTCTTTTCTTGGTTTTCGCATTTCAATCCAGCTTCTCAGCTTGTTGAGCATACTATTGAGATCGATACTGAGTAGCGATATCATAGTTCTTACTATTCTCTTGTATTACAAGTGAGATAATATATTTATGCCGATGCAATTTTTTTCCCGTGTGCACATTCTCATGGATACTTGATGAAGCTACTATATGTCCTGCCTGCTGTTTTGTAACTTTTGAGAGAACTTTTGTACGGGCGAAGTAAATTAGTGCTATGGTTAAATATAATAATAGAAGTTTTCAATGTTTCGTATTTTATATTTGAAACATAATGATTTAGATGATTGTGAATGTTATGCTTAAGATTCTAATTTTTTTTTTTTTTGTCAATTGTTTGCTTTTGAGTAGGTTGGACAAGACGTTGTAGAAGAGCTGGTGAAAGCAATGGAAAGAGCAAACCTTGATATGCGTGTGGCTGCTTTGGTGGGTTAATTTTTATTACTGTAAGATGTTTATGCATTTGTGAGCAACACAATACTTTCGGTGGAACTTCTTTTACTTACAATCTTCCCTGTATATAAGTTGAATTTCAAATATGAAAATGGCAAATTCATCGAGTCCCCAACTAGATGGATTTTTAATCCCATGCTTGGCATGCTTGGATACAAATTTAAAAAAAATAAATAAAAAATAAAATATTTTTAATCAATCACTTTTTTTAACTCAAATCTAACTCAACTTTAACTCAAAACCTCACTATCCTCAATATTATCAGTATAATTAATTAATACTATTCAATCATTCTTACACATTACATCAACTTTAGTTTACTATTCATCTACTCACATATTTTTAATTAACCATCACTTCAAATCATCTCTCCTACTTTTACATGAAATCAACTTTAATTATTTTATTTTAGATATTATTTGATATAAACTCAAAATCCTCCTAGCAACTAACCATGCCACTTTTTCCAAAATTAAAAAATCCAAACAAAATCAAAATATCTTATATACAAGCATCTCCTTGGTACAACTATCCTCTACTCTTTTTGATATTGTGGAATCATTTGATATCCACCCTCCAAACCCTCTCTTCAAATTAAAACCCTGTATTTTCCTCCGTATGTTTCACTATAAACAAGCAAACACGTGATATAGACCGTCTAGCAGGTCTTCCATGCGATAAAGCTGAATATTTAGTTTTTGGAAGATCATTTTTTCAGTTGTCTGTTTTTTTTTTTTTTTTTTTTTT